GACAGAGGGTGGGGAAACAGGTACAAAAGTGAGTAGGGGAGGATGGGTAGCAGTCGGAGTGTGGGAGTGAGGGGTTGGTGGATGTTGGAGGGGAAGTGACCGCGGAGCGAATTCCCTTGATCTTGGATTCAAGGAAATCCAGCATCTCCTCGCAGTGAAGGTTGGAGGAGATGACCTGCGCGGGGTGGCGGGGGGGACGGAGGAGTCGGGTTGTGGTGGAAAACAGTAGCCTGGGGTTGTTCTTCGCCTCCAGGATTATCCTGGAGTAGAAGGACGACTTGGCCGAGGCTAGAGTGGAGCGGTAAATTTTGAGGAGGTCCAGCCAGATTTGTCGGTGGACCGTTAGGCCAGATTTGACACAGGTGCGTTCAGCAGCCCGCACCTGGCTTTTCAGTGAGCGGAGTTCAGGTTTGAGGTAGTGAAAGATAATTTTAGAAATGACACCAGTAAGTATTTATTTATACAATGGTTAATCAAAGTCTGCAATTGGTTACCTTGAAGGGTGAAAGGCTTTCTTCATTCTGAACTTCCCTTGTGATCTTCTCAAGAAAGACTCACCTAATGAAGTCATTTCAAGCCCTTAATTTTGCAGTCCCCAGAAAATAGCTGATCCATCTCATAATAGGCGCCTTTTCCACTTGGAATTATAACATTTATGAAATTAAGTGATATAGCTATACAGTATATAACCAAGATGTCTATATATACCATTCAATTACTAGATCATCTGCTGCTGGGTTACTGGCAGCAGTGATCAACATAAGAATTGCTAGAAGAAAGAAAACCAAGGTCCATCCTGTTCACCTTCCACCATCCTGGCAGTCGCATGCACATATCAGGTCCAAAACTATATACTGTATCCAGAGATATTATTTCCTAAAATAAATTATCTAATTTGCTTTTGAAAGAATATCAAACCTCAGTCACTGAGAGAAGGACTACTCTATCTGTGTGAAAGGAAGTTTCTGAACAAGGGGATCTGAATCTGAAAAGTGCAACTTTCATTGCCAACATAGAATAACAATCACTCTTGGTCCAGTGGCTGAGCCATACACACTGGATCTGACTCTCAAGTGTGCTCGGGTAACTGATCCTAACTGGATTTGCAATAGTGTGCTTCAATGTGCCTCAAGCCCAAGGTTAAGCAAGGGATTATTAGTGATCAGCCCAGCGAAAACCTCTGCCGGTGAAGGCCGAATTAGGTTAAACTGAATGTGCCCCCTCCCCATCATCATTGATTAGCTCAACGACAATCACTCTCAAGGCTCACATGTGAATAATGGGCACTTGGGTAAAGCACCATCGAACTGCAGTAGAAAGAGTCAATAAGTCAAGATCTTTCAGGAAGAGGAGACGGAAAGAGAAAAACTGGTAGAGAAACTTAGGGAGAATAAATTTATACTTTTAAAAACCAAATCTCCTTGTGCTTTGTTTGGATTTCCAGAATCATTTGGAGATCAAAAGTAATGGAGAAAATAGGTAATGCCCAGGAGTGACAATGGGATCTTAAATATAAGCGATATTTTCAGCAAAGATATCCATCGGTGCAATATGTCAATAACGATGGAAGGGAAAATTTTAAGTATTAAAATAGCAAACATCTCCTTTAAGGCACCAACTAGTACGTTCAGACATTACAAGCCTCTGACTGCTCAAATACATTACAAAAGCTGAGCGCGCCATGCAATCTGAAAAGAAACACAAAATTGGAAACAGGTGGAGTGAAAAGCCCTCCCAACATCACAAAGAATCTGCGAGGGCAGGAAATAAATTGCTCTCAAGGCAGTATAACTTGACACTTAACAGATACGTGACCTTGTGCGATGGGCATCTTTTAGCAGAGAAATTTTGCAAAACTAGGGATATAAATTAAAGATTCCATCTTCAAGAGAATCAGAATAAAAGTCTACCATGAAACAAATTCTTCACAAATATGACCATGGCTGATACCAGCACAGTATGAAAAAAAACTGAGCAAAAACACTGATCAAAGTACTGCATTCAGCCAACAATGGAATCGGCTAGAGTACAAAGAAATAAAACTGCAGCATTTAAAAGATTGTAACCAAGCTAAACAGATAAATCAAATACTCCACAAAAAGAACAAAGCAGATTATCACCTTGATTTATTAAGGAATGCACTTATGTCAAATGGAAAACAATCGCATTTACTAAGATGTGATGTAATAAGTGTTGTACTGTTGAAAACAGAGAGAGAGATTCTGACTGCTCAGTGAGCCTGGTCATGTTATTGTGGAGGAGGGCACAGCTAACCAGCTATAAGGAAGGGATGAAAGCAACAGGACTCAAGCCAGATTGCTCTTGAATATCTCGCAGTCGCAGAATGACAAATGCAGAGAGAAACACTAGTCCTGGCTAACAATACACCAATAAAATTTGTCACTCACTCCATGGCTTTTTGTGGGACATTGTTATGTGCAAATTGATTGTCGCATACACCTGCAAAACACACAAGTCACTCCACATTACAGCGCTTTGGGACACCCTCCTGAGATTGTTGTTGCTGCTGTTATAAAAGACGCTCTAGCAAATGCGAGGATTATTATAGAATAAAAACAAATGTTCTGCTTCTTGCTGCAATGGCCTCTTGAGTTTGAAACAAAAGATATTTGGGTTGGATTAAGAGTTATTTTTATATTTATTATAAGCAACTTCTGAGAATTCTGCCAGCAGCACCAGCTCAATCTTTACATTCTTTGTTTTGCGCCTTACAAATTCAAGGATATCTATGCTGAGTTTGCCAATTGTAGGCTAAGCAGCAACTTTGGGCACCATTACTGGCCTCAGCTTGCTGAGCAACTGAAGGGTGGGTGGGGGGGAATGAGAAATACATTCCAAGCCTCCTGATTGCTATCCATGAACTGTGCTGCAAAGTGTGCATGAGGGAAAACAGAATCAGGCTCTTCTATGATGTCCTTCCAAGACTGCAGAGCTTACTGACTCTCACATCTCTAGGCAAGATCCAAAATTCCTTTTCATCTGCTGTCTTTCGGTGTCTTGTCAAAATAGTCGTCCCCATATAATTTCTACCAAATGTGAAAATGCATCCATTTGAGTTACTAACATTTATTGGGGAAACTGAGGAAAATGCATCAGAAAAAAAAGGAAACTCTCTGGTGTTCAAAGTTTTCCTATCAGCTATATTAGTGTGTAGTACGATTCGTTATTACTGCCAAATATGTTCCAGCTTCAAAGACCATCAAGATATGTGGCAGCAAACAAAATTGATTTCTGAAGCAGAGTGAAATTAGAAAACTGGAAAAATGTGGATTTGTCTTACTAATTTGGGTTCTGGTTTAAATTTGGATTCTCTAAAAATTGACATGAATTGAAAAATTCCTGTGATAATAAACTGAAGAGACTTAACTTTTTCCAAGGCCACACTGTTCTGACATGAACAAATCTTACACAAGACAAGACACTCAAATGGCATTGTTTTTGTGTCCAAACAAAATGGAACATTAATCTGTCTAGACAACTTTTTATCTTTTTACAGAAATAGAGCATTTGATCAGCCTACAGCCAAACAACTGCCAATATTCCTAGTTGAATTTATAAATTTCTTTCACAATCTAGGGAAACCAAGATTATTTAACACGATTACTGGTCGTTTGAGCAGCAAACGCACAAATGGTGTCAGTCACAGATCTGTGTAACATTGTTGTGTGGAAAGGTATGCGCTTTTATGGCACCCTGCTGCGTAGATCTTCAGTCAACCCCGAGCTTGATTTTTGGCAATCTTGCTTGCTGCTTACCTACTCCACTTACACTGAATGGGTGACTGACAGCCCCAGCTTTTAGTTGTTATTTTCGGTGAATGTTATTCATTGCTTTGCCTATGGCTGGCTGCTTCCCTTCCTTGGATTCTTTCATCCCTAATCTAACTATGTGATATTTTGGTCTGTTGCTTACCATTGACCGGCATGTATTTCTGGCTGCCAAGTGTCCGAGCTGCTTGGAGTGAGTGCACCATCAATGATTTTTATTTTGGGCGAGTTATTTATTGACTTGCCCCAATATTACGAGCTGCCCTACTGCCCTTGCACTGACTGGCAGAATGCTTACAGTCTGCTCTGACAGTGATAAACAAATGGCTGCAAGTAAGCATTTCATTTTTGTTCACCAAATACTTTATATTGGCTATATAATTTTTTTTTAAACAGAATTAGTTTACTATAAGTTCTTTGATTTTCTCCGATTCTTGAATTATTTAGTTTTACTTTTTTTTACTTTCTGTGGAAATTTTGATTTAAAATCTTTAGGATGAATCTGCTACCTGGTTTTGAAACCTTTTTAACCCACTCTCCCATGCCCATGCAACTCATTTCAGACGATATGGTTAAATTATTCGACTTACATTCAACTATTAAGTACTTTTGACAGTGATAACTAACCAGTTGACTATTTAGTATTTGTGCGTAAAGTATGTATTTTAAAGTCTTGTTAATGCACAAATAGTGTGCTTCTGTCATTGTGTTAGTTAACAACAATAACAACAACAAATTACATTTGTATAGCGCCTTTCACTTCAGAAGGACGTCCCAAAGCACTAGACAGTCAAGGATGTGCATCCGAACTGGGAGTTGGGATAGGAGGGGCGGCGGGTAGGGAGGGTGGGGGTATGAGGGTGACTAAAGATGCAGTCAAAGAGGAGGGTCTTGAGACGGGCCTTGAAGGAGGCAAGGGAGGGGACGAGGCGAAGGGACTGTGGGATGGAGTGGATCTTGTTCAAACCGACACCAAAGTATGTGTTGGCAAAACTTTATTTAAAGAAAGTGGGAACAGAAAATAAAATTATCAGGACATAGAGAAAAAAGTGCAATAAGAACTGTGATTCTTGTCATAGCAACCATTTAACCTAATTTTCTCTGGTACTGTTCATGCAAATCATTAGTGGTGGTTACAACCCGTGGGCCAATTTACAAACAGATGGAAAAAAAATCTTCTAATCATTCTAGTTTAACAGTTACCAGACACACCCTGGTAAACTATTCAACAATACAGATAAAAGGGCTTGGTTGTTGCTTGACCCAAGCGATATGGGTAATAAATTTCACCTTACTCACGCAGCCAAAAATGTTGCAGCCTTTGGGGGTAGATGTTAAGTTGATCAGAACAATAACTCCGTAGCTTGGTGACAGAGTCGCTTCTTTCTTGTACTGAGCCTCAGGCAGATTTATTACCTTCAAGTTCAGGTCTGTGATAAACGGAAACAACCACTCGCTCAATGCACGTTGTGACCTAAATGTGGGTCCAAATTGTGCTGTGTTTTGGTATCCTACTGAAGAATACTGTACAGTGAGCAATTTCATTTAACTCTTTTAGTGCTCCTTCTAAAAGTAGCAAATGACATCCTGATCATGTGTGATCAGGGCTCCCTCTGTCTCCTCGTCCTCCTCGACCGCTGCTTTTGACACTGTGGACCATTCAATCCTCCTCCACTGCCTCTCCTCCCACCTCAACCTCCAAGGTTCTGTCCTTGACTGGTCAGGTCCAACCTTTAACACTTTCTCCACTTCGTCTCCGCTAATGGCTTCTCCTCCAGCCCCCGCACTGTCTCGAGCGGCGTTCCTCAGGGCTCTGTCCTCGGTCCCCTCCTCTTCACCCTTTACATGCTCCCCTTGGTGACATCATCCGCAGACATGGGGTAAATTTCCATATGTATGCGGATGACACCCAACTCTATCTCTCTGCCTCCACCCTCAACTCCAGGACTACTAGCGTCCTGACCAACTGCCTGTCCGACATCAAGTCCTGGACGAGGGACAACTTTCTTCAGCTGAACGTCAGCAAGACCGAGACCCTCCTGATTGGCTCGAGCCAGCGCCTTCGCACCTTGAGCGCTGGCAGCATCAGCCTCCACGGCTGCACAGTCAACCTCACTAAGCCAGTCAGGAATCTGGATGTCTTGTTTGACCTTGAACTGTCCTTTCTCCCCCACATCCGCACCATGACCAGCACTGCCTACCACCATCTCCGCAACATTGCTAGACTCCGCCATTGCCTCACCCCTCAGGCTGCCAAAACCCTCACCCACGCATTCGTCACATCAAGGCTCGATTATGGAAATTTCCTCCTCATCGGCCTTCCCAACTCTTTCCTTCACAAGCTGCAGATCATCCAAAACTCTGTAGCTTGTGTACTCTCGCATACCAGGCTCCGTGATCCCATCACTCCCACCCTCGCCCAACTACACTGGCTCCTCATCCCTCAGAGAATCGAATTCAAGATGCTCGTCCTCACTTTCAAGGCCATCCATGGCCTTGTCCCCTCCTCTCTGACCTGCTGATTCCCTACCAACCTGCCTGCTCCCTCCATTCAGCGGGCTCTGGCTCTCCCACACGACCTGTCCTACCATCGGTGGCCGGGCTTTCAGCCTCTCTGGCCCCACACTCTGGAACTCCATCCCACAGTCCCTTCGCCTCGCTTCCTCCCTTGCCTCCTTGAAGGCCGCTTCAAGACCCTCCTCTTCGATTGTGCCTTCGGTCACCCTCCCACCTCTCTGCCTTCCCTCAACCCTACCTCACCCCTCCCCCATGCTTGGGTCCTGACCCCTGACTGTCCAGCACCTTGGGACGTCCTCCCAACGTGAAAGTCGCTCTATAAATGTAATTTTGTTGTTGTTTTGTTGTAGCAAACAAAACAATAACCAGAAACATGCATTTAAATTTTTCCTTTCCCATAGAATGCAACATTTCCAGACAGGGTGAAACCTTAAGCAAGTTTCCCTACTCCAGACGCCTCTGATTACCGAGCAGCAAGTAGGAACTCAGTTGTTAATTGATTGGTTGATCGATTTCCAGGGGTAATAATCCCTCAAAAAAAAAGGTCACTCAATCCACAACTGTTTGTGGGATACTGCTGTGCGCAAATGGCTGCCATGTTTCACCCACAAAATACAGTCAATACACTTTGGAATATATTCTTTGACGACGTGATATGGCGCTATACCAAATGCAAATTATAATTATTATAACATGCCATTGGAGGGCAAGAGTTCAGACAGGCATCTTTGATCATTGGCTTTTCATGTGCGACTCTATAATCATTGGGATTCATCACAAGAACTGCTCATGATGAACAGTAGCTTACCATGTGGAAGACCTCAGGCAAAAACCCATGTCCTCCCATTCGGCCATATCACATATTACAGCTCCAACAAACTGCAGTAGTGTACCACCCCAACCAGAAGCTTCTTAAATAACTGTTTTATTCTTGCCTTAAAAGCTGTCTGACTGCTCACTATGGAAACTGCTACTCTTAAAAATGACACCGCAGCACATTAGCTAAATAAATAAATAAGAAAAGTAACAAATTCTATTCTTAATCATGTACAAATATACAAGATACTTAAGTTGATTGAATATTTCTCCCTGTTCTATTTCTAGTGCATTTCATATTTGTATTCCTACGCAGAAGAGTACACACACATTGCCAGTTAATGTACATCAATTGTTTTCAGCCGCTGAATTGTGCTTGATGAAGGAAGTAGGTATTCCACTGGTGAGGCCCTCGGGTTACCAGCAGCAGTAATCCAAACAAGCTGTTGTTTAATGACAAAAATTGATGACACACATCTTACCAGAATGTTTCTGGCTGCTGCCGAGATTTAATCCTCAATCTAGATGGAAGATCAACATTATAGCACGGCATTACATCATGTGTTCAGCAATAAGCTGTTTTTATTAGAATTACAAGAATCTAAGTGTTTCAATACATATCCTTATCTGAACTATTCTCTCTGTTGAAACAAGCCTGCCAGGTATGAGTTGAATGTAAACTGCTCAGCGGTCTGGACTCCACGTCAACTAGTTGAACGGGTTGCTGTAAACAGGGTTGAAAATCAGTTTGGTTAAAGTTCATTTCTGCACAATATTATTTTTAAGTCTCATGTTGCAAAACCAGAATATCTAGGGACTTCTTTAAATCAATATACCTTAGTTATACAGTCTTATTATTTTAGAAAACGTGTACATATCAATTTTCCTAATACTAAAATTCTGCACTCCTCTATAATTGTCATTATAGGGCCAATCGTTTCCCACTCCATATTTATGTCCTTTTAAAAAAAATCCAATTTTATTAAGTAATAAATATTAATGGCCAACTCACCCAGAAAAGCTTCTGAACTACAGTATATGCAACCATGTATTGCATTTCCTTGCTATCTAATTAGGTCACCCCATTATACACGTCACATAGCAAAATTAATCAATTATTCTCAAGTCTCCAGCTATCTCATACTTAAGATGACTATATATGTCAAGCTCTAAAACTAAGAAACCATGAACAGTTAGACAAAAAAAAGAATTCTTATTAAAGTTCCCCATCGCTTTCCCAGCCCTGCCTGTTGCTTAGAATTTCTTAAGTTTCACTCATTTGATGGAAGTAATTTAACTTATCCATAACTACATGCAAAAATGTGTATTCAATCAAAACACGGAGTGAGAATTTATAGCCTTATACCACTTGCAGTAATGTGGCTGGGAAATGTGAATATTATTTTATTATCACCAGTTATTCGCTAGTCACCACAGCTACCACAATGGTCAATGTCTCAGATGCTGATGAGTCAGTTACCCCTAAACCAGTATTTCATTCATCATTCAGATGAAGAGTTAAACTGAGGTCACATCTGTCTGTTCTCCTGTTATCCTGGCCAACAAAAAGTACTACAGCTTCATGCCACACACTTGCTGAATGTATGTAAACTCTGCAGCTTGTTGTACTCTAGCGCACCAGGCTCCATGACCCCATCACTCCCACCTTCGCGCAACTCCACTGACTCCCCATCCCTCAGAGGATCGAATTCAAGATCCTCGTCCTCACTTTCAAGGCCATCCAACAACAACAACTTGGATTTATATAGCACCCTCCACGCCAGACGGGTCTCAGAGTGCTTCACAGTAACGGATCCTGGGGCCGAGCCAGGGGGAGGGGGAGCGGGAGGAAGGTAACCAAAGGCGCAGTCGAAAAGAAAGGTCTTCAGCAGAGACCTGAAAATCGGAAGAGAGGGGGCGAGGCGAAGGGAGTGAGGAAGGGAGTTCCAGAGCCTCGGATGTAGTGGCCGAAGGCACGGCCGCTGAGGGTGGAGCGGAGGACTCGGGGGATGAGGAGGAGGCCAGACCCGGAGGAACGAAGGCAACAGGTACTGTTTTGAGGAGAGAGGAGGTCAGAGAGGTAGGGGGGTGCAGAGGAGTGCAGGGACTTGAATACAAGAGTGAGGATCTTGAAATCAATCGTCTCTGGAATAGGCAGCCAATGTAGTCTGGCAAGGACTGGGGTGGTCGGGGAGCGGAGTTTTGTGCGGGTGAGAAGGCAGGCGACAGAGATTTGAATGATCTGGATTTTATGGATGGTAGTGGATGGGGGTAGGTACGGAAGGCGTTAGAGTAGTCCAGCCGAGACTACAATCATGGCCTTTCCCCCTCCTACCTCTCTGACCTGCTGACTCCCTACCAACTTGCCCGCTCCCTCCGTTCAGCGGGCTCCGGCCTGCTCCATGTCGCCCGCCCGACTCACCCTACCATTGGTGGCCGGACTTTCAGCCACTCTGCCCCCACACTCTGGAACTCCATCCCACAGTCCCTTTGCCTCGCTTCCTCCCTTGTATCCTTCAAGACCCTTCTCTTTGACCGTGCCTTTGGTCTCCCTCCCACCTCTCTGCCTTCCAGATGGCCTGCGACTAGCACTGTTGATAATGCAATGATAATAACAATAATTCTTGCATTTGATGTAACGCCTTATCACATTGTTGTTCACAGAATATACAGTTAAGCAAATTGACTGCATCTTGTGGGCGAAACGCAGCAACCAATTGTGCACAGCAATTAAATGGGCCAACATAGCCAAAAGTGCTATGCATAAAGCTGCCTGGAATTTCAGCCGTGAAATAATTCCATTTATCGCAACATATGAAGATGAAAGGTGGCATATGAGCAGCTACAGGGATTTACTTCCTGTTTCAATTGCACCAAATAAAAATGATCAGTTCTTACAAAGCAACATTTAATTTCTCTTAGTTCATCACATTTCCAAGACCGCTGCAATCCATTTTAGGAGAGCAGCTTACAGAGAGCAAAATATATAGCAATAAATGCACTATTCTCTATCATAATAACTATTCAATAACTATTCATAATAATTTCCAATAAAATGAGCACAAAGTCAAACACAAAATATCGGATAACTTAATGC